TCAAGTCAGGGACCGCAGGAGCTGTCGTGAAATGATGAGCAATGAATGCGAAGTCCATCCAGTGGAAGTACGAAAATAGAAAGGGGAATAATTCATGACTAGATATTTTATACACAGTGGAATTTCGTATATGTAAATATCATCTAATATTAATATTAACGCATATTAGCTACCATTTATCGAACCTTCCACACGAAATGCCCGATTAAGCGGCCTGTAAGAACTAATTCGAGGACTGGTTTTAAACAAAAATGAATAATTAAGGTTGAGTAGCGATTACTGCTTATGTTGAGATGAAGATTAGGAATTTCACGATCTCTCTCACCTGCTAGTCTCGTCGTGACGCTTATCACCTCAGCAACAGAACATGCGCTGTACAAGTCAGTGGCGCAGTTTTGTACCTGCGGGACAAGGGAAATTTGTATTACCACAACTGAGCGGAGTTGTTTGAGCATAAATATAAGGTAAATTTTATGCATGAATAAATGCCCTGACGAGCACTCATGGAAATCACGTAAGAAGTAATTGATGTCGGGAGATTAACAAAATACAAATAGTATAGAAAGTACGCATACCATCACACTTGCTCTAATATGCCTGCCCAATTGACCAAACCAGTTGCACTCTCAATCTGTCACCGTTACCGTTTAACTGATGGCCGACAAACTTAATTGTAGAGATCACCAGCATACTTGTCCCGGATAGTTCAACTGATTTGGCAGTATGCTGATGGTAATCTCTTTAACACAGGCTTGCATTAACCTAAAGATGTTTACTCACCCCCCTGGTAATGACTCAACCTTGCAGACCCAATATTTTTGCGTGGAATAACAGACTTGCTGCAGAACTGGTTTTTCATGGCAAGCTTAATCAATTCCGGTGATGATAGCAATCAAATTTACTTCATTGTTCCTAATTTATCTCTCTGTTTAAAACCCTAACAAAATTTAGAGCCGAGGGCGGCTCTTGATTAGGGAACGCCTAGGACTCGGGGAGTATAGTCCACCAGCTTCCCTATGTCCGCTTTTCGGTCTACATTCCGGTCCACGAATCAGACAGCTACAAGCGCCTGGTACTTATTCTTCCAACTCTTGCCGTACTCTCAGGAGACCATAAAGTCGGCCAGGAGGTTCTGACTAGTCGCTGATTGCGATCAGTTGGCCAACTGACCCAGAATAACTCTAACGCGAACATAGCAACTCTGGGGCGGAGGCTGAAGCATACCCCGAATTTTGCTAGGGAAACGAAATGATCTGCACACTTCTAACACAAATTATATCATGGATAATCGAATAAAATAAAATTAGTTCTTCAATGATAGTGTTATCAACAAGGACACTAATTTTTTTCAAATTATGACATAGTACAATAATAAAGTTCAAACAGAAAGAGGATACCATTCATGTGTTTGGATGAACTATTGGGCCTTACACATCATATCCTTCAAACAAAATTGGATAATTCGAAATTAATTACGCTTGACTCATTGATATTTTACTCATTTTCATTTTATGAGGTTTGTCGCGAAAATAAATGAATGAAAATAATTGTTATACATATCCAACTGTTCTAGATATGCCGGTTTTCACATCGTCTTACATCGGGTCTGTGAAGGAAAGCTCGTTACAAAGGGATTTCTCGCTAAATTTGCATGCCACATCACGCGCGCCGGATATTTAGCCTCACTAAGAGCTGAGTCTTGACGACCTGCGCATCTGTACGTTCTTCCCTTTTTCAGTCAGCGCTGTTCTTCTGTACTGCTGTTTGCACCTGTAAGCTAGTCTATAATTGTGATATGATTTTGTCTTTGCTTCTAGAACATGCCTTGTCATACTGCGCCGTTATTTATGCACATTTTAATTCGGCCTGGTGGGATTCGATATAGAATAGAATAGAATAGAAGTGTCGGCGTTGAAGAAATAGGCCCATGGCCTGTTGCCGATTCTTGAACTTTTCGTGACTTGATTCACAAGGAATCCGGCCTTTGGAACCCGATCTTTCCATAACTGACGATTGATTGAGATAGCTGCTGGACTTATTGCCTG